AATCATTTTTTGAATCTTCCCTGATTTACAATGGAGTCCTTTCTCACACTAAGTTGGGCTTTTTGTCCAGGACTGTGGAAGACCAAAGTAGATGGCTCGAATGCTTTTCTCCACATTCCTATTTCTCATCAGTCGAGACACTATCTTAGGTTTGTTCACCATGGGGTTGTGTACCAGTTTTGCAACTTACCCATTTGGGCTTGCTTTGATTCCATATGCCTTTTGTTAGGGGTCAAAACATTTGCCTGACTTATGCATGCTCGGGGGTTGTGCTTACACCACTGTGTGGATGACAGTCTTTTGTTAGCTTATTCCGAAACGGAGTCTTCACAACACACTCATTTGCTTCTGACAGAAGCAGCTCAAGTAGGTTGGATTATCAAGTTGGAAAAGTCTTACCTGTTACGTACCCAATATTTTGTCCACTTGGATGTCTTTTTCAACACCCACCTCAGTTGGACCCAACCTTCTCCCCTTCAACTACATTCATTGGAGCTTTCAGTTGTTCATGTCCATGCTACTCCCTATCTTACTGCTCGTGAGGTTCTATTGTTTTTAGGAATCTGAGCTTCTATGGAAGCACTTATCCTCTTGAGTCGAGCACATGTGCAGTCTCTTCAGTGGATGCTACACAACCACTAGAATCTTGTTCAGGATCCCTTGGATTTTCCCATGACCCTTCCTCCTTCCCTCATTGATGATTTGTATTGGTGGTTGAACAAGGCCCACATTTCGTCAGGTATACCAATTCTTCTACCTCATACAGATTTGCATCTCTTCACAAATGCTCCTTTCCATGGTTGGGGGTGTGGGTCGATCAGCAGGAGGCTTTCAAACAATGGTCTATGGCTGACAAGTCATACCATATCAACATCCAGGAGCTTCTGGCAGTACAACATTTATTAGATCAATTTCTTCCTGTTGGCCAAAATTCACTTGTCACGATCCTTTCAGACAGTTCTTCAGTGATGGCATATATCCATTACCATTCTCATTCCCTTTGTGTTCAAATCTTGGATCTCCTATTTTGGGCCCACATGCTTGGGATACGTCTCCTTGCATGTCACGTTCCAGGTGCTTTATATTTCCAGACCAGACAAACTTTATCCCATGGAATGGTCTCTCGCTCTTCAGGTTTTCCAGTGGTTATGCCTCTGGTGGGGTACTCCTCAACTGGATGCATTTGCCACTTTCCTCTATTCCAAGTTACCACCTCTGTTTTGGTCTCCAGTTCCTCATCCACACACCCTAACTGTCAATTCATTCAACCAGCATTGGACCAACCAATACCTTTATGATTTTCTTCCCATCTGTCTTCTTCCTTGGCTGATTTCAATCATCCATCCCACTCTATATCAGGTCCTTCTGATTACTCCTGGTTTACCAGCTACTTCAGCTTTGAATTGCCTCTTCTTCTTATTCCATCCATTCTACATCAACCTCAGTCACCAATGTTTCATCCTGCCCTTCCTACCTTCATGCCTGTCATTTATCAGGTCCTTGGCAAGGAAATCTCGATTATCTTGGTGTGTCACTTCCTTTCTAGCACGTTCCATTTGCTCATCCTCAGTGGCAGTCTATCAGCGTAAATGGAATGTTTTCCACCATTGGTCATTGAGTTGGGGTTTTCCCCTTCTCGACCCACTCTTCCTCTTTTTATGGGTTTCCTTACTTTGCTGTTTGATTACAGGACTTCTGCCTAGTCCATCACAGGTTATTGAGCAACCTTATCCCACACCTTCTGTTTTCCCTGGTACACTTTAATCTTTACCTCCCCTACCCTCTCTCTTTTGTTGTGTTCCTTCCGTTTTTGTAGATCTCTTCATTGAGCAGTCTTTCCAGATTGGGATGCCAATGTGGTTCTTCACTGCCTTACTCTAACTCTGTTTCAAACTTTGGCCTCTTGTTCTTTGTTTCACTTGTCCCTTAAGACTTATTTCCTAGTCCTATTAGCCTGTGGGCTTAGTCTGTCTGATATAGTTACTTAGAACATTTTACACACACTGTTCTCCTTTATCTGGATCGGCCTTTCCTTCCCAAAACTTCAGTGGCTTTTGAGGATAATTCTTCCTTCTTGCCAATTTCTCTTCTTCCCATCTCACACCTTTATTACTGGTCGGATCTGGATAGACTTCTTTGTCCCGTACATGCTCTTCTTTGTTACATTGCCCACATAGCTTCCTTCCACAGTTCCTATTCTCACCTTTTCATCCCCTGGCAACAGTCCTCTGTACATGACCTTTCTCCTTCTACTCTTACAAGTTGGGTTTGGCAACTAATTAGATTGGTATATTCCTTTTTGTCTCCTTCTTTCTGAAATTTGTACTAGGTGTCTTCACATCAGATCAGGCATCCTACTTTTTTACCTGAAGCTTCACCTCATTTGTCCATTGGAGGAAATTCTTCAGTCGGGTATGTGGATTACACCTCATATGTTCATCTCCCACTATCTTCATCTGGTGGCTGTTTTTTCCTTGTCAGGGTACCATCTTCTACCTGTTGCCATCCTTCAAATGTCAGTGAGGCTGTGACTGGGTAAGTTATCTTTTTTATACACTTTTTAATTTCTTACATTAGCATGTCCTTTTTCTTTAAGGATTCCACTCTGTGGTGAGTGTTGCCTGTCCACGTATACTTAATATATGTAAAATCCACACTGTACAGCCAAGATGAAATCATAAAATATAATATACCGTTGGCCAATAATGCACACTGCAGAGATGGAGTGTTCCATGAGATTGCTTGTAGGTTTTTCCCTTGCAATATATTTGCTTCATTAATATGCCTGTTCCAGACCATGCTAATCTTTGGAATTACATGGGCAAAGCAAAAGGGGATAGCTACCTATCCCTTCGATTGAATAAATCAGTTGAGGTTTGCTTTTCAAAGTAAGGTTTTCATGGTCACCCATTGCATTGTCTCTGGTGTTGGCATTCCTCTAGACTGTCCTCTATGTTTTATCCCCCTTGTTCTTCTAGTGGAGTATGGAAGTCCTTGCCACTTTCCAGTTCCTAGCCACTTGGGTGGTGGACTTTGGGGGTATCCTCCTGAATGTAATCACCCAATAATATACATAAACTAAGAAATTCATTGAGTAGAAAGTAGGTTGGTGGTGTAGATGGCATGTCATTCTCCAATCATGCGCTCTATCTCTGTACATTGAGCTCCTAGGGTTGATGTTGTGCTCAGCTTCTGTGCAGTTCTATCTGGAGGGTGCAATTGCATATAATTGGTTGAGGCAATCCCCTTCTAAATGATGGGACCCAGAAGTTTGCAGTGCTCTCCAATTCTGTATGGTCTTATCTAAGGAGATGATGTTGCCCATGTCTACTAATAAAAATGCTCTACCTCTGTGCAGTGGGTCCCGGAGGTTGATGTTGCACATGGCAGTTTTATCCGAAGAGAGAAGCTGCTTATAATTTCTGGATGCAATCCATTTTTGTGTGGTGGGACCTGAAGGTTGCTATGATGCTCCAACCTTTGTGCATTTCCATCCAGAGGATGATGTTGCTTTAGAGTTGATCCATCACATTGCAGTTCACTCCTTCAGTTGGGATCCCTCCTCTCACCATCATCTAGATTTCAGTTTCAGTTGACTGTTTTTTTATTTAGAGCAGGACCAATCAACATAAGTCCTCACATGTGTTGCTTATGTTTCCTCTTTCTCACTGAATTTGCCTCATTATCACCAAACTCTGTGCAGTGGGTCCCAGAGGTTGGTGTTATGCCCAGCTTCTGTGCAGTTTTATCTGGAGGGTGAGGTGATTATATTTTTCATCGCAGGTCATCCACTTCCATGCAGTGGGACCCAGAGAGTGCTGTTGCACTCATAATTCTGTGTGGACCTATCCAGAGAATAATGTTGAATGAGGTAATAGTTCTCCCTATTGCACTCAATCTTCTGGAGTTTCATGGCCCAAGGAACAGTGGAGGTACCAGTCTGATTAAGTTTGATTTTAATGTGACTTACCACATGGGCACACCTGTTTCTGCCATCATTCAGATGACAGATGTATGGTTAGTTGTGGATTTGCACACCTTTGCCCATTTCATAGATCAGCTTGCACAGTATGTATTTCTGTTCTACTGAGCTTGTGGTGAAGGTGGTGTGGACCCTCCTCCTACCACAGATCAGAAGTTATATTTCCAATACTGATTGGTTTTGGACTGGAGTTGATATGCTGTATACAGTCCATTGCACACTAGTCACTCTGTACCTAGGAGCACATCCATTTTAGCTTTCCCCCACATTACTGTCTGTAGATGTTTCTTTGACAGGATTCAGATTATGATATACTGGGGTTTGGATTCCAATCCAACCATTTTTCTCTCTCCTTTTGGTTGTGCTCATCCCTTATTTTCTACCCATGTATGCGACACCTTTTTCCACACTGGGTGCAAAGTATACCTGGTAAAGAAGTGGTGCAGTCTCCCACATTTGATCCTCTATGGGGGATCACAATTCTGTGATGTTTTTCAGATGCTTTTGAAGGATGCTTATTTCTATCCCACGCACTGATCCCTCCATGTATTCATTGTGGGATTCTAGCTTTATATGTGAGAAGAGGTAATGTACCCTATCAAAAGTTAAAACTTTCCTATACTGAAAATGTATTTCTGACAGGTACCTTCTCTCACAATTGCCACACTTCCTCCCTGCTGAAAACCATTGCTTCTTTTTCTGCCTAAACCCAAAGTGATTGTTTGGTAGAATCAGATAGGAGTCACGTACATCAGGAGGGTGTGTCACACTCCTATTGGTGGAGAGTTGTCACATAATGATTTACATGCTAGACGAAGTTGAGCCACAATGATTGTGGGGTACATGGGAGGGCAAGGCCTGTAGCATGCAAAAAAAATTTTTTGCATATAGGTACATTTTCAGTATAGGAAATTTATAGAATTTTTAGTAAATGTAAGTTTTAATGTTTCTTCCTTGGTTTTGAAGTATTTGTTGTTGAAGAGCAAACAATCAATGACTTTGTTCTATTGTTATTTAGTATGAAAACTTGAATGATGCTGAACAGATAACCTGGTTGATTGTGCATCATGTTAATGATCTGGTTCAACTGTCAAGTGAGCTCCCTGTACATGATTTTATCAGGTAACATAATGAATGTAAATGTATTTTGTATTTACTTTGTTATTTTTCTTTTTACAAATGTGTAATTTATTTTTATTTTTTTCAGAGTATTATGTTACCACACAACTTAGTTATTATATTCATGTATCAAGTATGTAAAGGTTCATATAACATTCATCATTTGATGTTTATTGTTTTTGTTCATTTTAAAGAAAAAAATTAAAATTGAAAAAACTGCTTGATAATATTAATAATTATGGTTTGTTTCAGTGCTGTTCATCGTAATCCAGCTGCCAGTAGCTTACTTGTTCAAGCAATTCATGCACGCTGTGTTAATCTATCAAAGGTGAGAAAACACTGAAAAATATAAAACTTGTACTTCGAGAACCTTACAGCTGTGAATAAAACATACTAAAATTATGTCACCTGTAACAACTTGTTTACAATAAGGAAAATATGCTAAATCAAATATTTATGAAAAACGTTGTATTATGCACACCACAAAATTTATCTTTCAGTAAGAAATATGAACCAGAATACATTTGTTTGTATTAACATGTCTTATGTAAATTGAAGTTTCTGTTAAGTTTCACAGCTTGCTATTGTATTTGGAGGATGCACTTGTGTTTATTAACATATGTGTAATGTTAGATTTCTGCTTAAGTTTCAAATCTTGCTGTGATATTGAGAGAATGCAATTATGTTTATTAACATACCATATGCAAGTTGAGATTCCTGCTTAAGTTTATTAATATACAACTCAATGTGGCATCAAGAAGGTGAAATAAATTATAAGCAAATTGGCTATGGATCTGCTCCCCAGTGGCACAGTAGTATGGCTGTGAACTTACAATGCTAGAAACTGGGTTTTGATACCCATGGTGGGCAGAGCACAGATAGCCCATTGTGTAGCTTTGTGCTTAATTACAAAACAAAACAAATGAAACCTATGGATCTTAGGAGTAATTAGGAATCTTCCTCATGCAGCTGCACATTTTAGAGTTTGAATTAACACCTTGTTTGAAATATTTAAAAAAAGAAAAATGTACATGCTAACATACAGGTTTTTTCTAATTGCAATTTTACAATGTAGATTTTTTTTCTGAATAAGCATTTAAGATCTGAAAAGTCATTGAAATATATAAACAAATACTCATTAAAACATCTGTATACTACAAGAAATAACATAAAATTATTTTATTGGCTATTACTAGATATCACTGCAATATGCTGACAATACTGGGTGATTGATCTTTCCATTCAGTGTTGATGTATTTGAAAAAATAGTTCTCACAGGTCAGGGAAACTGGAAAAACTCAGTGAATTTTGTATTTTGCATTGCTGCTCCGAGAAACATGAGGGAATTTCATTTTACAGATAAAAACAGGGAAATATCAGTGAATTTCATGTAATTTGATGATGCTTCTAGGACACTGATGCCAAAAGAATAATTATCATTAGTATCAAAAAATCTCATACAGGTACTTTATGCATAAACATTGTTCTGTCTCTTTTGTTTACAATTACTTATCATGAAGTAGGTAGGTATCTGTAATATAATATGTAAACAATAGCTATGTTCCCACCTAACTAGATCTGAAAAAAGATTTTTCTCAACTTCCTAAAACTAATTCGTGGAGACTTGTTTTACAGCAGCTTAAAACCCCTAACAAATTACTATTTAGAGATAAGCTGTTCCCATTAAATAAGTTATTTTGATCTTTTAGTGCATTAACAAAACAGTTCCCATATCAGTAGCCACAGAAGGAACACACAATAACCTGGATATGTTATGTCATTTACTTATTTTTGTTGTAACTTGAAATATGTCATAATGAAAATGAACAGTTCAGTTAGTTTGGTGAAGCATTGCACTTTAAAGGTGGAATAAAACTCATTTTGATGAGTTATTATTTTTATTTCATGTATGTGACAGTTAAGGAAACTGTATTAAACCAAATATGGATTGCAATGTATTATAAGTAATTTGGAAATAATAATAAGTTTTGAAAACAAAAAATTTGCAATATAGAATATCCTTAATAGTAACTAACAATGTCATGTGAGTTTCCAAGAATAGTTTTCTATCCATGAATATTTTTAGAAACAGTTGAATGCATCATTTTTACCTAGTAATATGTAATTTAATGCATTGGATATTTGAGTAATATATTACCAAAATTTATCTATTTTCAAACAAGATGCTAGGGACAGGAAAGATTAAAAAACAAAAGATAAAAATGAGTATGCTTGGCTTTATAGAATTTGAATAATAGCTTTTGTATTGTTGTGAAACTACAGACTTTCAGACCACAGTATGCTCTTGAGATCAAGATATTAATTATTATGGAGATTGTGTTGTGCTAGTGTGGTTGTATGGGTAGTGTGCTAGTATTTATCATTGTGTCTAAAGTCAAGGGTCATACCAGAATAAAAATATTGTGAGTGCGTTTAGTAAACGTTTTACTTATTAAAAGTTTTTTTTAATGTAATAAGCAACATTATGTAAAAACAGAGTGAAAAACTTGACATCTGAGTGGTGTAATATTGTAATGCAGTATCACTGTCAGTGACAAACATGTTTGTGTACAGTGACATTCATGTATGTGCCAGTCACCATTAGCATACTCTCTATGAGTATAATTGTATATTATGATGCCATATGGTTATAATACAACTATAAACATGGATGTTTTTTAAGTTGGTTTGATTCTGTGTATGAAGTGTCCTGTATGAATAATTAAGAGTTTACATTTGTAAATATAACCTGACAATCTTGTGAAAGGACAAAACTTGCATAAGCCTGAAAATATTTTTGGTAACATGATCAATCAATAAATAGTCACGTTTTTTCAAAGATTTCAGTACTCTTGATAAAAATGACCTTCATACGAAAAGTTTAAGAGCATAAGAATATAATACAAGGGGCTCTGGGTCAGTGGATGGATTCAGTAATGTGTGAAATTGTTTTATTGATATCAGAAATGAGTTTTTTGCAGTGTATTGTTAGCAGCTGAAAGTTTTGTACAGATTAGAAAATATTGGTTTAATAAATATTTGACATATGAGAAGATTATTTATTTGTTAACCCTATCATCACTGGTCAAAGGCCATGTCATGGAGTTTGTTGACTCACATTCAAAATTATATTGAACTACTATTTTATGAATGTGTGTCAATAAGTTTGGTATCAAATTGTAGATTATAATTCAAATTTTAGACTTATACATTAGTTAATTTCTCAATTTAAAAGGAAATTAAAAAAAAACCCTAAAAATTGATTTTTGTGTGTTACGTGTTATGTTGAATGCAACATTAATTCAAATTAGATGTTAATGAGGTCCAAATTTTTTTATCTTGGTTTTTGAGGTCGGTCAAATCGATCCAACCTGTACAGAGACACGGTTGTGAAAATAACAGATAAAATATGAAGCTCTTTTCTAAAAAAACATTTGATAATTATATTATCTGAAGGTTATAAACATTTTGCATGTGAAATTTGAAAATATTTTGATACATATAAGTATTTTTAATCTTAAAATAAAAATTACTTTGCATGTTGGATAGTTAACATTCAAAAAGAAAAAAAGCACGAGAAAAACATTACTTAAGAAATCATAAAACTTGATGGAAAAACTATTATTTTGCATACGAAATCCTTGTAATGTTTACTTATAATATATAAAAGTTTGTGAAGATGCACTTAGTAATTTAAAAGTTATGCCATGAAAACTTTAACAAGCACAAAATGGTTACAAGGTCAGTCCCTGGGACCGAGCTCATGCTAAGAGAGTTAAATAATATTCCATTTTACAACAATGAACATGTTCCTTCCATGTATTAAAAGTTAAAACATAATAATCATAAATGTTAAAATCTATAGTGTTGCTTATGGTGTAATAAAATCTCAATGATTTAAATAAAAATTAAAAAGCATAATTAATAGTACTATCATCAGAAAATGGATAAACTACCATTATTATATATGTGCTCTGATAAAGTATCAATAATTCAAGAATAGTATGATTGATCATAATGAAACTTTGCAAGATGACATTTAAGCAATCTGTGACTCTTAATATACTGCTTGTCTTATTTTGATTAAACAGAATGTATTCAGAGCTGTGTAATACTGCTATGTTTCTAGGAGTGACTGGGGGATAGACACTCCATATGAAAATTCATAGCGATTGCAGGTAGTGTTGCTCCAGTATACATCTATGCAAAGCTCTACTCGCTACATTGTTGATATTGTATATAATTATATAGTTTTGTGTGTGTATGTGTGTGTGTGTATATATATATATATATATATATATTAAGTCATCAAGAAATAAATGTCATGTTTTGGAACACTTTCATTAACCACCCCCCGAAAAACGTACATCACATATAATAGTTAAATGAACTGCCTAAACGTCACGTGTAAAGTGTAAAGTTTAGTATGCTCTAATCCCTTATAGTGATGGCACACAATGAGACACATTCGACATGTAATGCTGTTTGAATACAAGAAGGGAAACAACGCCTCTGTAGCCACAAAGAATATGGATATGTTTTGAATGTTTGTAAGTGTCAACGATGGTTCAGCAAATTTCGTTCAGGTGACTTTAGCCTTAAAAACTCTGATGGCAGGAGCTGATATGTTGGAATTGATATTGACGCCCTGAAGTCATTTGTTGAGTCTAACCTAAGGCAACACACTCGTGCAATGGCCCTGAAATTGCATGTCTCTCATAAAACATCTAAGGAATATGGAAAAACTCCATAAAGAAGGTGTTTGGGTGCCTCACAAACTCTCAGGTGATCAACGTGTGAACGTTGCTTCGTCTCTACAGGCACGTGAATCATTTTTGGACAGAATTGTCACCGGTGATGAAAAATGGATTCTTTATGTGAATAGTAAATGCCAAAAACAATGGCTCAGTCCTAGAAAAAACACTTCCGACCCCAAAACCTGGACTCCATCCACAGAAAATGATGCTTTGCATTTGGTGGGACATCAGAGGAGTACTTCATTTTGAACTCCTTAATCCACAGCAACCTATCAATGCAGAGATCTGTAGTCAGTAACTGGAACATTTAAATCAAGCTCTTCATCAGAAACGCCCTTCACTCGTCAATCAGAAGGGTGGTGTTCTTCTCCACAACAATGCACGTCCACATGTGGCACGTTTGATGCAACACAAGATTATGGAGTTGGGTTGGGAAGTTCTCCCCCACCCACTATATTCTGCAGATATTGCATCGTCAGATTACTATCTTTTTTGTTCGCTGCAACACCATTTTAATGGGAAAATGTATACAGATGTGGAAGGTGTTAAAGAAAACATCGACATGTTTACTGCTTCAAAGCCAAGTGATTTTTTAATCAGGGCATTGGCAACCTGACTGTAAGATGGAAAAGTATCATAGGTAAG